ACACGAGATTAAACCTCATTATTGTATTGCTTTTAATTGCTAACAAGTGTGAAAATTACCCTGGCTATTTCCCAAAGATTGGTTTCCTCTGCTTGTACAAAAGGCTTATTTAATTCAAGAGACAAAAATCAAGTACTGCAGGTATGGAGTCATGCATGGACCTACTGGCTGTATTAGGTATTTTTTAACATGTGTTGTGTGTAATAAGAGGAGACTTTGTATTTTAAGCAGTTTAGAAATAATGTAATTTTTTTTTTCATTTGAATATACAATAGTAAATGATCTCAGTCACTGGTAATGCTTTCTGACATGCAATTTATTATGGTGCTGAAGTAGATTCTTCAGAGCCCAGGGGATACAGCTCCTTTAAGCACCTTTGGGGAGACAAATCTTATTATCAATGAGTGTTTTAAGCTAGCATTTCTTTTCACATCTTGGCAAGATATTAATTTTGCTGCTCTCCCTTTTTATTTCTTTTCTGGTTATAAGTGGTATATGGATCTTGAGAGGAGGAGGGAATAGACCAGGACAGAACATATTTCCCTCGATATTTATTCTGGGTATGCATGTATTTGTTTTATATATTATAGGAAGCAGCCATCAGCTGCTGGATCCAGTTCAGTGATGGATCTGTCATGCCCCTGGATATTTATGACTCCAAAGACTTCTCCTTGTCAGCTACATCTCTGGATGAGAAGGTGGTCTCCGTTCACCATGACCCCAAATTCAAGTGGCCTGTGATTGCTGCTGAGACAGAAGGCCAGGGGACACTGGTGAAGGTAGAGATGGTGATCAGTGAATCGTGCCAGAAATCCAAAAGAAAGAGCATCCTAGCTGTTGGAAGTGGTAGCATTAAAGTCAAGTTTGGGCAGAGTGATGCCAACCCTAACATCAGTGACAGTAAACACAGAGGTGCTGGTGTCCACCTAGAAAATCATGCCAGTGACCGGCGTCAGAAAACTACTTCTCAGGAGCGAGATGGCCAGTATTACAGCTCCTCAATGGGCCATGAGCAAGGCAAAGGAACCACCACTCAAAGGTCTATTCTAAGTAAAAAAGAAGACAGAGAAAGCCTCCTGGATGATGACAGCCATCTGCAGAACATCCCAATAGACTTCACGAGCTTCCCTGCACAGGTGGATTTGCCACGAAGCAATGGAGACTTGGAAGAGAATGACCTAGTCCAGACACCTAGGGGTCTCAGTGACCTGGAGATAGGGATGTATGCTCTCCTGGGAGTCTTTTGCCTGGCAATTCTGGTTTTCCTTATCAATTGTGTCACTTTTGCTTTGAAGTACAGAAACAAACAAGTTCCCTTTGAAGAGCAAGAAGGCATGAGCCACTCTCATGACTGGGTTGGGCTGAGCAACAGGACAGAACTTCTGGAGAACCACATAAATTTCTCATCCCAACAAGATGAACGTATCACAGCCATTGACAGAGGAGTGGACTATGAAGAGAGCAAATATCTCCTCAACACAAATGCCACCAAAAATATTAATGGACAGTCTTTCAGGTCTACTGAGTCCACATTCACTGAAGGGAAAGAACAGAAAAGTGAACCAACTACTTCTCCTACCTCTAAGAGGAAACGGGTTAAATTCACCACCTTTACCACCATCTCCTCTGATGATGGGTGTCCAACTGTCAACTCAGTCTTGATGAGCAGTGAGGATGACATTAAATGGGTCTGCCAGGATATGGACCTGGGGGAGTGCAAAGAACTTAAAAACTATATGGAGAGATTACATGAAAACGTGTAGTGAGACACAAAAGACTCTTTTTGTTTGGTTTGTTTGTTTGTTTGTTTTTCACTCACCTTCTGCCTTTAATTTTGGGTAGTGGGGCAAAATGTTGTATTGATAACATGAATCAGCTGGTGGATAATAACTCAATGGAGCCCCAAGAAGCCACCCAAAAGCAACTGGGAGAGTTGGACAGCTCTTAAAATGCAAGCCTTCTCTGTGCTCAGAGATGGAAGTGAGAGATGTGTGAGGGTTTTTGATGCATGGTAACATGAAAAAACAAAACCTTAGCAAAAGAATACGGTCTCATTCTCTGAGCTTTCCCAGGAAATCAATAAATATAACAAACTCCAGTTCACACAGGTCTGCTGTTCAATATTGCAAGCTTTGGTTAAAAGCAAAAAATTGGTCTCAGAATAAATAGATCCACAAAGAGAGCGTATCAGTCAAGCCACATGCGGAGAATGGCCATCCATGAACATGAATTTAAAGCTGACAAAAAAACACCAGTGTGAGCAGAGCAGCTCCCAGAGCTGACAAGTCAGGAGTTTCCAAAGAATCTGGAGGGGGAAAAGGAATAACTGGGCTGTTTACAAACCAGCAGGTTTGCCTCCCGAGCACTGAGAATGGATACACATATACAGTTAAAACTGAAACTCTCTTTTTAAGTAGATGCCAAGGTAATAAACTTTGCCAGCCAATTTTCAGTATTTCTTAATTTGTAAAATAGAAGTTGTTATCTATACTCAGAATATCACTCATATAAAGGAAGGTCTGTTTTGGGAAGTTTGAGAGAACAAGCTATTTTTAGAAGCCCACTTTATTTGATTGTCCTATTTCAAATTTGTATTCCCAGCCATTTCCCTGGAGCGCTCCCCATCTGTTATCCTGAGGGCACTTACTAGCATCAGTCAACTTTGGAACCACGTGGTTTCCTCCTTCCCTTCCGTGCACACTCGCGTCTCCACAATGTGCTCTTGCCAAGCACAGACATCTTGGTACCACTCTGCTACTTGCTTTACATGCTGTCATGTACGAGTTGGCCACTATCTTGGGTAAATGTAGCTTGTGCTGAACTCGGACACCAACACCAGTTGCCTCGTTGTCCACCCCCTTCCCTGGGAGAGGTCAGGTAGTTCTGTTCCCTCTGTTCATGCTTCTTTAGACCCCTGCTCAGCACATTTAGAGGGCACTTGAAGGTCACAGAGGAGTGCTGCACATTCAACACTGAAGCCTGAACAGCTAAACTTGGTAGATAACATTTGTTTCTCCCAGAGGTGATGATTATCTCTTGCTTTCCTCTGATAAGGATGTACATATGGTGGGATTTCAGTGATTACTCTTTGAATCCGATGTGCCCTCCAGCCCTAAAACCATGACATTTTTGTGAGGTCCAAAAGCAGTCTCCAGTGACCAGTGGCAAAGTGCCAAAGCACTAACTAAAATGAAGATTCCCTTTATTTTCCAGAGTGAGCCCTTGCCCTCCTTTTATTATTAAATCTCCTGTCATTGAATCTAGGTTGCTCAGTTTAATACACACCCACCCTCCCACAAACACTTAGATTGAATCCCTCTATATATAGAATGTACTGTAGATTGTAAGAATGTAATATATATATATATTTATAAACATGCCAACTGTGAATAAAATTTGCATTTTAGTGGCTTCATTTTTTTTTCCTATTCTGAACATCTCTTACTTTTCACTGTCAGAACATTTACCGTGAAAGACTGGCAGCAGTATGGAGACTTGTCCTTTGATGAATCGGTGAATTAAGGTTCATGGCACAATCTAGTCACAATGTTTTACATTGTGCAGTGTTGGGGGGAGAAGGTATAACTTGAACAACATGTTGTGCTACAAATGTATTTGCACTGAGTCACCCTTCCAAGATTTGAAACTATGTGCAAATAAATCCACATGCATATTTGTAGCCTGAAAGCCTGATATGTGAGTTTCTGGGTTTGGTGCTATTGGGAAGATCCACATTTGGCTAAATGTCTTTGATGACAAATTTAACGGAGTAAGTTGGTATAAATAGGGCAAATGTGCACAAAAGTTTGGAGATCAGTACTTGTACGTCAGATGGTCTTTGCTTTCTTTCAGCACCTCTCACCAAGGCCTGGATTACTCGGTGCTATGCAAGCTCAAGGACAAAATGCGGCAGTGAGGACAGCACAGTGCAGGGCCCACTCTAGCTCTGGATGAGCTCTCAGGTGAGGGAAGCAGCCTTAGTGCTGGAGCAAAGCACTGCAGCCTCCCAGCAGGTTCAGCAGTATTCCAGCCCACTTGCCTCCGATTCCAGAGCTATTTTGGGTGCTTTTTACACATCACTACATTGTGTCCACAGAGACTTCCCCTAAGCAATGTGGAGGTCAGGGTAGAAGTGGCCAAATCTCAGCTGGCAGTCTGATGCGTGCGTGCAAGGTTGTCTTGCAGAAGCATCACTGCATGGCCAATCTTTCTCCTTTGGAAAGAGCAGGTACAAGCCACACTGGGAGCAGGCTGTCAGAATTGCTTTACCAATGAGCTGCTATGGTAAATCCAGATTTCTGTGTTAGCTGCCGCTGGGGAACATGAGGAACTAACAGCAAGTTCATCTGGTAGCACAAACCACCAAAATGTTTTCCTAGGACAAAACAGCCGCCAGCTACAATGCTAAGGATACTGACATTCAGATTTATGCCTTTTTGCTTGCTCAGAGGTCCCTGCTGTCTCTAGCAGCTGTAGCTTGCTATTATCCATAGGGCAATACTATAAATAATACATAGTATTTACAGTGCTCTTTGTCCATAGATCTCAGAGTGCTCTGAGCAGGGCAGATTCCTTATTGGCACAGAGAACACAAAGGTTAAGTGATTTGCTCAAAGTATCATAGGCAATCTCTGACAAAACTAGGAAGAGGCATCGCTCCCCCCACACCCTTTAATGTATCAGTCACTGAACAGGATCCTGAGCTCTACTCAAGGAGAAGCCAGAGTGGATTGTGGCCATCTGTATGCCAGCAAACACTTTTAATCAATCTGCTAATAGCAGAATAAATCAACTTCCTATAGAGATTTTTGTATGTGTGTATCATCTACCTATCATCTGTTGATAGGGGGTGTTTGCATATATTCAGTTTTGTTACAGTACAGGGTGCATACTTGTAAGTGAGACCTTCAGGGGCATCTCAAGAAAGAAAAGGTTGTGTTTCAGACAAAGAATTCCATTGGCAAATAAAGGAGGCTAATTTCTGTTCTCCCATTATAAAAGCAGTGATGGTGGTTAGGTGGTGCTTACATGTAACAGTTTGCAGCTGTGGTTCCCATGAGCAAACTCTTGAGCCTGATAAGGAGCCCTGCTGACAGCAAGAAGTCTCCTGTAAGTGTTATTAATTACTTTTTCTTTTTGCAGTTGTCTCTTTATTTTCATGTTTGAGTCTCTTTCCGTGTGAGTAGATAGACTGATACAGGCATGTTAACAACAGCAAGTGTATCTGATGCAATTTGGCTGTTTTGTTTTAGAGATGTTATGCATGAATACAATCTGGAGTAGAAACTCAATTGTCCTATAAATCAGGTAAGCTGGTTCTTTCCTGTCTTCCTTCATTTTAAGAGCTTCCCCTTCAGCAGTCTTAAATATATAGTGGTTTAGAGCAAGCTGCATTAATACACCAGTGAATTCAAAGTCTGAGCAATGTAGCTAAATAATTACTTTGGAACTAGAGTTCTATGGAGGTAAGTGACTTGAAAAAGCGAAATAGGTATTAAATCGATGTGCAGCCTGCATTCATTAGCTCTAGAAACTACTTTCACACATTGTTTCCATAATGAATGAGATGTAAATGAAATGAGCACACAGGAGACTCTTTGATTTGGTTCTATATATTCAGCTTCTCCAAGACTCTCTGCTGTCATTCCCCTGTGGTCTGTGGGACTGCTTCATTGTGGAAGATCCTTATTTGGAGCTGAAGGACTCATGTACTATAACTTAGAGGAGTTTTTCATGTGTCATTTAAGAGATTGTTGGTTGGACTCCTGTATGTATTAATCAAGCAAAGTCCAGTAAGCATCACTGAGGAATTAACTCGGGCAAGGAGCTATTGCTGTCAAATGATGCATTTAGACAATGCCTCAAACATAAAAAAAAGCCTCTGAGATGAGTGTATTTAGTCCTTGAAAGCCCAGGAGCTCTGTCACATATTTCTATGTGGTTATTGTAGTACCGTATCCTGTCCATGCACAGCATTAGAGTACTGCAGTGATGCTACCTGTAGTACAGCTACTATACAAAATCAGTTCTATGATACTCCCATCCCATACTATCAGAAACACACAAGATAATGTACCTGTTTGAAGTAGGAGAGGCCTGTGTCTTACAGGAGGGTTAATGCCAACCTGAGCTTCCCGCGCAGGAGTAGTAGGACTGTCTATTCTTCACTGCCATGTCTGGCCCCAGAATGAGCTGCCTCTTGGGGACAGGTAGAAGAGAGGTCTAAAACAAGTCAGGATATCACTTACAAAGTGCTGAGGAGATAGGATTTCTGTTCTGTTTCCAGTTCACTTCTTACTGTTAGAATACTCTCAGAATGGTCTGCTTGAGCACTTGGCAACAGGCACATGTTTAAACACCTTTCTGAATGTGTGTTTGGTCTCCAACAGCCGTCATCTTCCTCAGGCACAGATAATGCCTCTTTCCTGTGAAATTAGTGAGTATGCTGCTTGGCTTCTTGGTGAAAGCTTTAGCAGATGAAGTTCAAAAGTTGCAGCAATAAGGGCCTGAGAAAAGCAGAACGCCTGGTACATCATGCCCATAATCAGGAGTGTTAGGAGGGCCAAGGTTACATGAGTCAAGCAAGTATGCCTAAAACTGGATCATTTTCTACCTTTTTGCCGATTTGATATGAAGACCTCTGTCAACAAATCCTTCATTATGCAGGCTTCCTGCGACAGCTCTGTGAGAAGCAGCAAATTAAGCAGCCCACGTATGTAACATTAATGGCTGGAGAAGCAGCACTGCTGCTCTGTTTGTATGTACTGCCAATGCTCATTAAGGAATTCCTGTCACATTATAAAGGTGGCTGGTAGATTACATACGACAAGTTTCTGCATCTGCCTCCTTAAAACAGCCCCTGGAGCCTGGAGGCACACGTTCAGTACTGAACCACAGTTGTTTGCAATGTCTTCCAGAACTTAACTTGTTCCTTGTTTCAGTGGGTGCAAATGAGGCCTCCTGTTGCATTCCCCTTCTGCAGTCACAGATGCTTCTCTCTAACTCGGATTGATGCTGTGTTGGCACGCTAACAGTGGCTCGATATTTGGTACCTGAGTACTCAAACCAATATTACCAGCAAAAGAAAGCTGCAATTTTTAAGTGTAATGAGGAATTCGGTTATTCATGTTCAGACTTTCATTCCTAATAATTAAATTAGAGCTTACTACAGTCAGTTAACATATTAACGACCTAAAAACAGTCCAAAGAGCTTTACTGCTCAGCCTTGGTGATAGAAGCATGCAATGATGACTAAGAGTCCCATTTTCAACATTTTATTGAACTCTGTAAGCACAGATGAACAGAGTGGAGGAGAAATAAGGATGGGAATAAAGGGACTGTGTTCTCCATGAGCAGTGCTTATCTTAGCACACACTGGATGTGGCCAGCTGCCTTCAGCAGAAGGCTGTCCAGTGGCAGATTTTCACTGCAGCTTATTCTCCATCTGCTCTTGTTTGTGTCTCAGCCTTCTTTTAGAGGCCAGTGTGAGGAGCTGGTCCTGAGAGCCTCAGCTTCATCCCTGCATGGTGTTGCTCAGCAGCCAAGTACAGAGCAACTTCCCTTCAGGCAGCCATCAAAGTCAGAAGTTTCTCTGATGATCCCTTCTTCTACCCTGTGCTGTGCCATGAGGTTCCATTAGAGATCTGATAGGTATCACTACCACCTTTGCCTGTGGCTGCCCAAGTTGTTGGGTATCTCACTGGCTATCAGTAGAGAAGTGTGAGCTTAACAGCAGGCTCTAGACAGGTCCCCAAGAGCTTTAGTTCTTCTTGTACTGATAATCGATGTGCCTCTGCTTTTCTGTTGCACCTTCTGGATTGCTTGCTTGAAGGCTGCAGGACCATGCCCTGCCTGCACTGCTGCACAATGGGGCTGTGCTCTTTGGGGGAGGGCAACGTTGCTGGTGCCCCAGATGCTCCTGGGTTGCTTCTTTGCCCAGGATAATCTGTATCCCTGTGCTCTGCTCCTGGTGGGATTCTCCCACCAGTACAGATGCATCTCAAGCCTCCCTGTTTCTCAAGCAAATCCTTTGTCTCACTGACTGGGGGCACCCATTTGCTATCCTGTTGTCAGCAAGCCAAAAACCCAAATCACTGTGCTCCTCTCTGCCATTAATAACTTAGTTTTCTTCCACCACTTCTCCCTCTCAGGTCTAATCAATAGCATTGCTCTTAGCGTTTGGCATTCCCTTCTGCTCCGCCAGGCAGGATACCAAGGTCACATAAGTCCGTTTTGTGTTTCTCCTTTACATAGTATCAGGCTGCATGTCTTAATGCAAAATATTTTGTAATGCTGAAAAATCCCAAGTCTTGATCAGATCTAGCTCTGTACCCAGCTCTCTGCATATGCTTGACTGTAGCTTTAACACAGCGCTCAATAATGTGTCTTTTGCAAGACCAGTTCATAGAGCTGAAGCGGCATTTTTGGCAGGCTGTGAGCTCAGAAAGGTTTTTTCCATCACATGGCACAGCCCTCACACAATCACACCAGCCCCCGAAGAGCAATAGGATTTTAATCAGCTTTTCTAATTGCTTTGTCCCCTGGTCTAGTACAGAACCTGTGTCCCCTACTCCTAAAGCACCCGTAATGAGGGGCTGTAATTGAAGAGGATGCTCTTCTAGCCCAATTTTAATGTGATTTGTGAGGCTACTTGGGTGATTGCTGCAAAGTGGCAGCAGAGAGGGAGAGCAGACAGACAGACAAGCTAAGTACCTTGACTCAAATCAGGCCTTAAACCATGGGAAATGTCAAGGTTTTGAGCCAGAGCCATTCCAGGGTGCAGAAAAATTTGGTACCAGCTAAATTATGCTGCTTTATTCCTCCTAAAAACATAGCATCACCCTCTCCTCCTTCAGAGTCACACCCTTACATCTTGAAAACCTGGTTCAGCTTCTCACCCAGCAATGGCCTGGGCTATAAACAGCTTCTCTGTTTGGGGTGTAGGTTTGAAAGCTCTGTAGGGGATGGAAAAGAGAAAGGGGAAGGGAGGGGGGAAAAAGGAGCAAAGGGGACTTAGCTGGGACATGGTGTGTATTTTGCTGGGAAGAGAACAGCAATAAAAACTGCCATTTCTGCGCTTGATGAGGTGTAAACAGCCTGCGAATGCCCCGCACAGTAGTGTTATCTGCTGCTTTGTGTGGAAGAAAGGGTGGGAGATAATTTTCTGTTATAAGGTAGCAGGAAGCCTTAATGCGTATTCATGTATTTGTGTGTGTGTGTGTGTGTATCCATATATGTGTGAAACAGACTTAATGCTGCCCTCGTTTCTAGCTGTAATTCATCAATTGCTTACTACCACTTCCCCATCCTCCATTTTAATATTTTTCACTTACCGTACTTTGAAGAGCTAGAAATAGCTTGTCAGATTGAGACAGCTCTTGAGAAGTTTAATTTTCCTAATGCTTGTTGGAAATCCCCTTCCTGAATCTCCAGGAATATTAAGGTTCTTAGCATGAGCTGTGCAGAGAGGGAATTTGCAAGTAAAGCTGTCAGTGAATTGCAATTGGGTTAGGAGAGGCTTGATGGACAGCACTGATGGGTGCAGGATCTGTCTAACCCAGGAGGGAAGGATGCTGTGGGTGGCAGAGCTGGAGGGGAGGAAGGGGTAGGTGCCGGCTGTTTGCTTTCTCTCTGCCAGACCTACAGGGAATAGTCAGACAAAATGAGAGCAGAGGCACAGGGAGTGTTTACAAGCAAAGGTAACAGTTGTAATGGCTTTTGCTGCTGATTCCCCAATGGGTCTCTGCTGTCACTGCTGGTAGGAGTGCGATGCTCCTGGTTGCTAGCAGTGTGGTGCTCCCATGACCTCTGCAGAAAGGTGTTGCTGTGTTGCTGACTGCACCCCTGCACCCAGATGAGAACAGTGGGGAGCCTCTTGCAGAGCCAGTGTTAGAGTGCAGGGACAGGGTTTAGACGAAGCTTGAATGAGAGCGTTACTGACAGCACTGTTCATTACCTGAGTGCTCAGTGCCAGTCCCAGGAAGGTCGTACCAGTGTGAAGGATTTTTCATGTAAAGAGAGGAAATAAAAAGGTATTTTGCAAACAGCCAGAGAATATCAAGTGTTCCCTCGCTATTGACAGTGACAGGGAAGCACAGTAATTTGGGAATAGGCAATCTGCCAATGTCTGAATCCTTGTCCTTGCTTCTGAGTCCAAATAGAGGTCCCTTCCTCACAAGTACACATACCAAAGGGGATTGTTCCCCCTGTACCATCAGGTGGATGTGAATAAGCAGCCACATTTGCAAAAGCAGGGTCCTAGCAGGGCTTTTCCATGCCAAGTTCCAAGGTGTCTGCTGAGTGCAGCT